GTAGTTCATCAAAATTACCATAGCTCATTTAAATAATGTATGAACGCAATGCGGAAGTGATTTGCCGATGTTTGCGATATTTTGGCTTTGATTTTGGTGGGGAAAACGGCATGATTTTTTTTTCAAATCAAGAAATTAGTTATTTTTGGAAAGTAAACTGAGCATTTAAAGAATAATTTAACACTGTTTACTGTGACAACAGCGTATTTGAAACAGAACATTTTCGCATTGTTTTAATTTCGTTTTTATGGACTTACTGCGAAATTAAAAACCACGCTGATATTTTCTACAGTAGACTAAAAAGACATGTTTCAAGAGATTATAGACCGATTTCTTAAAAATTGTTAGAAGCAAAACCAATTTTTTTTTACATAAAAGCCATTCATACAGTAACAGCGAGGGACTTCCGCGATCGCGTCCATCGCTACGAACCGGTAACCGGTAGTCGATCCGCCGGCGCCCAATTCACGATCATTACGTGCCAAAATTTCAACTTTGTCTGGCGCTTAATTGAGGTGTAAAATACAAAGTTTTTGTGGCACTGGCACCTAATTGAAGGTGGCGCTTAACTGAAAACAAATACGGTAGTCCCATTTATAGTCTGGACTTTCCTTCAGAAGATTGAGACAAGAGTAGCCAAATTTTTAAAGTAAAAACTGAAAATTGACTAAAATTTTGTCTGTTGGCTACAAAATTTGTGTTTAGTTACAGGAAAATTGAAGAATATAAAGGAAAAGTGCAGAAAAATTTGGGTGAAAAAGTCTGGCGATGAAAAGCAAGAGAACTGAATAGAACTAAAAAGATTACCGTTAAAATCCTATTATAAACCGCATACCTAATAGTAACCGCACCCCCGATTTCGGCTTCAATGTTGAAGAGTTCTCAACAAAAATTGAAAACATGAAAAGTACCTATTACTAACCGCACCCCCAATTCAACAAGACCGTGACCGACTTTGTTTCAACCAGCTGGTACATTGTTCTTAATCCTATTAATTTGTTTCGACAACGTGCCTAAAAATATTCACACCTCCTTATTGTTCAGTACTGTTAGGATGTCAAACACACAGTCTTGTGACAACTTTTGTCAATACTCCTTATGAATACATCCGTGTGTAGCAAGTTTTCGACAATGAGCTGTTCTCTCCGAAAAACTGTTAAATTCTTTTTCAATGCTCAGTTTATCGTTCGAAAACAACTAATTTCTTGATTTAAAAAAAAAGTCATGTCGTTTTCCCAAGGAAAATCAAAGCCAAAAGATCGCACTACATTATCGGCAAATCGCTTCCAGGTTTCTTTCACCATGAAGTCGGTGACCTGTCATTAACATATTTAAATGATCTAAGGTAATTTGAACACGTGGGCACCATCCAGCATTTTGATTGGTTAATTAGCGACTTGACCTACCCAGTCAAGTAATGTCTCGTGTGCATTCAAACTACATAGCGGAAGTCATATCGCTTCGATCGTTTACATGTGACCAAAATAATTCGCTCACGGTGAAACTAAGTTGAATTTTACTTGCATTTGATAACAATTCAATGAATTTATTTTTCGTGCGTTGTTATAATCACTACGGAGTAATAATCAACAATTTCAACAGTTCGAAAACAATTAAGTGATTCACTTGTGAGCCGAAGCATGGCCGGATTACGTTACCGTACCCACGGTACCGTACTTTTTTAGTGCCGTACCATGATCATTTTCTACTAAGCAATGCATTAATGTTTGTTTTTATTTGAAATTCCTCAGAAT